TGGACCGCCCGCCCCCCACCGCCCCAGATCGGCGCGGAGAAATGGCGTCAAAAGGGGGCGCCTCCCTCCCTGCCAGGCCGGCCTCCTCCTCCTCCTCCTCTGGCCCACCGCCCGCAAAAGAAAGGGGGCCGGGAGATGGGGAGGAGCGTGAGATGGGAGCAAGCCTTGGGAACCTCCATCCTGCTTCCTCTTCTTTTTTTTTGGCGGGGGGGAGAGGACTACAAGCCCCAGAATGCGGGCCTTGGCGGCGTCGTTTCCCCTCCGGGCTGGGTGGGATCCGGCCCCCTCGTGGGCGGGGGACGATGGGCTTGGGAGTCGTGCGCCAGGCAACCCGGGTCCTGGCCGCCAGGAGCGCGCAAAGGCGGATCGATTTCTTCTCCGCGATACAATGTTGCAAGAAAGCCGGGAGGGCGAGATCCAGCGGGGCTTTCCTTTACTTCCTAGTAAAGAGCCCAAGGCCTGCCGCGGGGAGCCTCCCCTTCCCTCCCACCATCGAGACGCCTTCTGTCCCATCTTCCACTATTCCAACGTGATTCTTTGCTTTCTTTTCCTGGGTCCCGCCTAACTCTACGATTCTGAGAGGACGAGGATGATGATGATCGTTAATGGACAGCTCAACAGCTCCGTGATTTAGATAATCTGGCTGCCGAGCCAGAGGTTGGGAGTTCGATTCCCCACCGGGTGCGTCCTTGACGGGGGTTGGACTTGATGATCTTACAGGGTCCCTTCCGATTTCTGCAGTTTCAAGATTATTATAATTAGCTGTTGAAAATTAGCTTTACCAGCAGGCGAAAGTCCCGGCTGAGCCTTAAAGGCATCGTGCAATAAGATCGTCCGAAGAAAGAAAATAGAATTAGATAAAGACTGCCTTTTTAAATTAGATTTTTGGGACATGGGGCGAGTTTGAATGTATGGAAAATGAACCATCGGTGGAGAGAGAGCCCCCCCCAGCCCTGAGAAGCACAGATCTCTATGGATCATGCCTCCCACAGGTGCCTACTGCGAGGCTGCTAGTCTCCTCGGCAGTAAGCCCAGCCGGCTTTGATTAATTTCCAAATATAAATCTGGTGGCCTCTTGATGCTTTGTTGCGTAACATTTAAGTAAACACACCATTAACACTACAAAATGATTTAACTCCCCCCCCCATACTACTTTACAGTCATCTGTAACTGAGTTGCGTTAACAGTTACATGTTGGTAGTTACAAGTAACTCGTTCTGTGCCACTTCAGGGCTCTGGCAAGTGAAAAGCACTGTTTTTTTCCTAGTATCCTAAATGCAGGGATAAATTTCTTGTTGAGTCCCTGGTGATGATTTCATGGTGAAGAAAAAGCCTGCTGGTCTTTGTGTGTGTGTGTGCGTGTGCGTGTCGTTTTTAAAGGGGGTGTCGTTTTTAAAGGGGAAATCTTTTAAATCAGTTGCAAGCTCCCAGGAGGGAACCCCCTTTCCGTTCATGAAGAATGGTACGACCCATGCAAAAGACAACTAGATTTTCCAGGAGTTGGAAGAGACTCATTCGCGCTCAGGGAGAAAGCGCGGAGGAAAAAGTCAAGCAGCGGGCGGAAAGAAGCCCCGAACCAGCTTTCCTCCATGGTTCTCCGGATCCCCTTGCGGAGAAGTGCCAGCTTCACCCCGGACCACCACCAAGCCGGGGCGGAGGCATCCCCACCGGGGCCGCTGAAGATGGAAGCCAACGTGGTGGTGCTGGGCGCGGACCGCGTGGGAAAATCCGGTGAGCCGCTTCTTTCTGGGGCTTTTAAAAAATAAAGGGAACAAGGAAGGGGGTCCGAGGTAGACCCACCTGGTCTCTCAAGTGGCCAAACAACTCTCCGAAGGGCAGATGTGGGGAGATCTCGGGGGAGATGATAGGGGGGGTTTCTCTGCTGGATCTGTGCATCAATGTACATTGGACATGTGCCACTTCAAGGACACGATTCCCCACTTCCCAAAAGAAGAGTGAGAACTGCCTCGGGGGTTTCATGCCCTCTGTAAGCAATCAAAACTGTATGTCTTGAAAGACATTTCCTCCCCTGCCGTGGGTTCTTTTAGCGAGAAAGCTGGGCTAAAAATATTCCAAATAAATCCATCTATTAGGTTTCCTACCTAAATGATGCGAAGCAAGGAGGAGAAAATATAAAAGCAGCTTATGCTCGTGCATGTAGTACAGAATGTATTTTCCGCCACCCCAGCCTTTGGTAATATAGTGGTTTTGATGTCTGGTTAAGTAGCCAGAGGTTGAGATTTTGATTCCCCCACGATGTCTCCTGGGAGAAGAGCCAGCCTGGGTAGCCTTGGGCCAGCTGCACCATCCCAGGGTGTCCCCTAGAGGAAGGGAAGGGTAATACACTTTTGAGTACCTGGAAAACCCTAAAAGGTCACCCTAAGTCAAAATTGACGTGACAGCACATCATCATTATGGTTATTAATGTTATCCTTACTATTATTACTACTACTGTAGTTTTGAGCAATATGTACATCCACAGTATTGTCTTTTTCACTACTCAGAGGTCAATCCCACCAATTTAAATGGGGTGCATTTCCAAACATTATAAAGCTGAGGTTTGCAGCCTGAATTCCATAAAGCTGAACCCAAGTGGAGTGGCTGTATCTGGTACGACATTCCAGATTGGGTGCAATATCAACCGAAGACTCAGATGCGAAGCAAAGGGTTCCTGGCAAATTAACAGCCCTATCAGGTGTGGTTCTCACAAAGTGCTAATAAATTAGCAGCTCTGTCATATGTTCCTGCAAAATCTGGTGCATACAGAGAAGATACTACGGTGATGTGGGGCTTTAGTTCTGAATCAACATGCATAAGATGAAACTATAAACATGCATAAGATTCCAGTCTTCAGTCACTGGAATTTGAGCATAAAGTCATGATTGCAAGCATATGGACTGAACTGCACAATGTTTGTTTGACTTCCAAAAGAAAACCTATACATTACCTGCTGCAGAAGTAAATGTTGACGAGGCTCATATTTGCCAGGCTGATTTTCCGTATAGCGCCACTTTTTCCGCTTATCCCTTTTCTTAGCTTCACAACAGAATGCCGTCATGTCCCAGACCCGACAAATCTGTCCTGTAAATCAGTAACACAACGCCTGCTCTTTTTCACAGCTTTGACAGTACGCTTTCTCACCCGGAGGTTCATCGGAGAATACGGAAACATGGGTGAGTGTCATGGGTAGACCGTCATCGAGAGATTCATGCTCGTTTGTTTTCTCTTGACTTTTCGGGAGAGAGGGCTGGATGGTCCAGGAAAGCAGAGAAGTCCGCTCTGCAAGAATTAATTCTAAAACAACAGCTGGATTGTTTTTGTGAGACGATGAGCAAGCTTCATCATAAGCTTCCCAAACCTGGCATTAGAGGTGTGCGTATTTGTGTTTGGGGAATACAGTTCCCCCACATGGCCTGCATAGCCACAATTTTATACGCAAAGAGTTGTTTTCTTTTTCACAAAAACTTCTGGCTTGAACACATCCGACTCTTCCTGAAAAGCAAATACCCCACGGATGTGGCACAAAGGCTGATGTTTGTGTATTAGCCTACAGCCGATGAGCATTAGCTGGTTGTCTACCGCTAGGACGTTTTGGCAGTCAATGCTTTGACACGGCTGGATCATTGTTATTAATTCAACCAGTGGCATATTCTTTCCCTCCTTTCATTCTTTGCCCGCCCTGACAATGATGTTCATCATCTGCATGAATCTGCAGCCAAAACAGTACACCCCATGTATCTGAAGAAATGGATTGGAATTCCAGAAAATATCACACCGAACTAAATCTGTTAGTCCTCCAGAGGCTGTGGAATTTACGAGCTTACAACAGCAAAGCTGGAAGTGACCCCCATGGGGGGAATTGAGCTCCCAACCTCTGGCTCTGCAGCCAGAGACCTCAACCACTGAGCTACCCAAACTGGTCTTCATTTATGTACTTTTGCACACCATGTCCAGAAAGGTCCGTTTCCCCATAGGCAATGCCACCATTGGTCAGCCTGTCTCTGGCATCAAGGCTGAGGGCCATGCAGCTTCATATGTTGTAATTCGCTCAAGTAATACGCTTGGGGGGGGGGGCAGGAGGTCTGCTGATCTCTAAGAACCAGAGATGAGTGTCAGTTTGCAAAGGGAACAGTAGGTTCAGGATGGGAGAACGCAAGTTTTCATCCTTTGGGCATGGCTTTCTGGCAGTGAGAACTTTTCTGCTTTTCCCCACCCAGAGTCTGTCTACACCCATACTTTGGCGCTAGAAGGCAGAGAGGTGGTTTTCCACATCTGGGACTTTCCTTGTTCACAGGTGAGGGCTTTCACCGGCGGGATCCCATGTTATCTTCTTTCCTACCTTTGCTTCCCACCTTGGAACGCGGTCACCCTCCACAGCAAATCCTTAGAATAACCTCTCTCTCTCCCCCCCCCTCCTTTGAGGATGTGATTAGAGTCTAGCAAAATATCATTTCTGGGCACAGGAGCCATATACGAGGACAGATATCTATCTGCAGACCCATGGGGGGGGGAAGCTGTTTCGGCACCTTCTCAGTGGACAAAATGTAATTTCTTTAAATACTCCTGATTTGTTGCTGATGCAGGGGTTAAACTGCAGTACTGCGGTCAAGACTCTGTTCATGAGTTCTGTTCCATGTAGCCTGCATAATTCATTTGCAAACTGCTGAGCGAGTGCTCTTAAATTCAAAACTGAGCCCTGTTGGTCTCCCCCTTCAGGAAAAGGCAGAGGAGAGCTCGCCGGGGGATAAGCGCATCCAGTGGGCCGACGGCTTCGTTCTGGTCTATAGCATCTGTGACCGGGCCAGCTTCGACAGCGTCCAGCCCAAAGTCCAGGTCATCAAGGCCGCCAAGGAGGGCCCCAGCCAGGAGAAAATCCCCATTGTCATCGTGGGGAACAAGCGAGACCTGCACCACCATCGCACCGTCTCCAGCGAGGAAGGACGGCTCCTGGCCCTCTCCCTGGACTGCGAGTTCTACGAAGTATCGGCTGCCGAAGCCTCGCACGGGGCCCTCCTGGTCTTCCACGCACTGGCCGAGCGCCTGTGCGAGGCCAAGCTGGCCCTCAAGAAAGGGACCGGGATCCGCAGCATCGTCAAGAGCGTGTCGGCCGTCTTTGCCCGGAAAAGGACGGACTCGATGTAAGACGGAGGGAGGACCTGGGGACGGCTCGGCCTCCCAGCCTCCTCTGCACAATGGGATTTCTCTTGTGTAAAATGATGCACCTCCTTGTTCTCTTAACCCAGAGGGGAGAAGCTTTCGGGGAGACCTCATGGCCCTTGTTTGGCCCATGGGGTGCAACCACACCCCCAAAAAGGGCAAATGTTATGAAAACTCCCAGGATTGTCTGTTCCAACTTCCATCTTCATTTTGGGGTGGGGGGCTATTTTACTGTAAAAGCACTACCCTGGCAACCAGATTTTTTTGGGGGGGGCACAGAGTTCAAATACAGCCTAGGTGGCCACGTGTGGCCGTTGACCCCTCTGTCAACTCCAGCATTAACCATACCCCAAAATTAGGAGGCTGCAGGATGGCCCGGCCGAAGAGGTGGTGATACAGGGGGCTGCCTGGATGTCCAGATAGTCCTCCACCCTTCCCCACTACCAGCACCTCAAGAGGGTAGGGCTTTAAATAAGGATCCGTAGACGTCAGTTGGCTCCTCTCTTTCCCTCTGAAGTGGCTAAACTGCAGTCCTGCAGTCAAAACTCCGCTCACAACCCGGGGTTCAATCCCAGGTAGCTGGCTCAAGGTTCACTCAGCCTTCCGCCCTTCTGAGGTCAGTAAAATGACTACCCAACTTCCTGGGGGTGGGTGGGAGGGATGTGCAGCCACCGTAAGTCACTTGTAGAACACCCAGAGAGTGCTGTAAAGCCCCTACGAGGCAGTATAGAGGGGGCACCGCTTCCTTCTGTTTATCTGAGCAAAGTGTGTTGCCGTTCTGTTCAAATGATATTTTGAAAATGGCTTTTAATTTTCATATCCATGCATGTCGCTTCTTCCCACCAGCTTCCAGTTCTGCCCTCTTGCTTGAAAGGAGCCTATGCGTTTTATGCAAATGATTTTTGTCTACTGACTCCTGCTTGCAGGATGCTTATGGGGCCACCCTGGTAGGCTGTTCTCTTAGCTCTGCGGCTGCTCTGATCCCTCCCTAGTATTAGCACCTTCGAAGATGCACCTTGTCAGATGGATTCTTCCAGCTAAGAGATAACATTCGATGCCAAATTTCTCCTGTCACTTCTGGGTTGTAGGATTTTTTCCCCCCCTTGCTTGCTAGAAGCCTGATTGTGGGGTTGTAATGCTGTGAGTAAATGCCTGGAACTCAGTGTCCTACATGGCGGTTCTCCCTCCCTCTTGATCCTTTTCCTGACAGCCTGGCAGTTGGTGAGAGAGACGTTGGCATTTTCCCAGGGTCTTGTGTGGGTGTGGTAGATCTTAAATCATCCTGGGTAGAAGCTATGGCTTGTCTGCAGCTGAAAAATTATCCCCAAGGGCCTCTGACGGTTGATAAAAGATACAAGCAACAGGCAGGATCTGACTCCTCAACAGAAGGAAGGTTATTTTGCCGGTAGATCTCCTGAGCTCTGATTTCTAGAGCCACCCCTACCGTGAGGCAGAGTTGGGGGCCACGGCCTGAACTGGTTCTCCTGAACTTCCTGGCTTGCTTCCCTCAGCAAGATCCTGTCTTGTTACCTATGTTGAAATAAGATTCAGTTGCCAATCTGTTCATGTTTTGTCTGGGTAACTAAGGGGTTTTTTAAGCAACCATCACAGAACAAAGCAAATTAATCAACAAAATCCAGAACAAATCCCTTGTGTGACACTCACATGCCACCCGCTCTTATGCACTTTTCTAATTACGGGCTATCTATAATGCTTGTTCCTGCGTTCAGTTGCACAGATTTAGGGGAGCGGGGCGAGGACATTTGCCATGGCCTGTATCCAGTGTGACACTCATGGTGGTATTAAGATATGTATCCCTTTCACTGGGCCCACAGCCTTCTCCACGTACTAGAGAATTTCCCAGCCCTGCAGAGCAGGAATGAAAGATTTTGTGGGGTGTTTTTCTTTTTCTTTTTGGCTTTCTGCAGGGGGCTGTTTCAGTCCTCCTTGTCCCCACCGAAGCTCCTTCTGCAGGTCCAAAGACTGCATTGAATACTGTCCTATATCTCACTCCATCCGAATTTGTAAGGTTGTTGTGAGAGCCTCCAGTACAAGAGAAAGGTATTACAGATATGAGGGGTGGGAGAAAGCCCCGTGGTTTTGCAGAAACACAAACCCCCCTTTTTTTTAGACTGGGTGAGGAGTGCCCTGGGGGGGGCAGAGAAGAGAACCCCAGAACAACTCCATGATAACTTGGCACATTCTTTGCTCACCAAATGCTGAGTGGCCTTTGAGGAGAAGAATTTAAAAACAGGAAAAAAGAGATTTACTTGATCATCTTTCTGTATTGATCTCTTGTGAAGTTCTTATTGGGCCCAAACTTTATATGGGTTGATGCCCAGGGTGTAAATAAAATCAATATTACCTGTTTTCTCAAGTAAATTCTGTGCTGGCACTTTGAATATGTGTAAAAAGGAATAAAAACTAATAGATATCCAGAGGAGATGTGTAGGATATGTTGCATGTGTTTTGTTTTTAATCGTCTACAATGCCCAGGGCATTAAATACATAAGTAAATAACCTCCATTGAGCTGGCTCAAAGAGTATGCTGGCTAAGAATTTGGGAGTTGTAGTTCCAAACTGCAGTCCAGGGGATCCGGAGACTGTCTGCGGAAAACAGGGGAAGGAGAGGCTCAAGGGGAGCCATCTCAGCTAAAGCAGCTCTTTTGACAAGCCCTGATTAAGGGTCAGATTCAAACCAGAATTTAGGGGGTGGATGGTGTTGCTGCAGAAACTGAGTAGGGTCTTTCTTGAATCCCGGGGGGTGGTTGCCTCCACTGGCCAAACATCCCAGGCGGTCCTTAGTTCTGCCCTTTAAGACAGGGCAGGTGAGTCAAACACCTTCCAGAGGCTGTTGGACTACAATGCCCATCAGCCCTAGTCAACGCCACTGTGGGTCAGGAATGCCAAGGGTTGCTGGTGTCCATTCTCAGAAGAGCCACCTTTTCCCCGCCTGGGGGTTCAGCAGACCTTCCAGAGGTACCCAGAGGTGGTGAGAGTCACCAGAGAGGTTTCCTAGTTTACGTGCTGGTTTCCCCCCACATGGGATGTGGGTGGTGCTGCGGGTTACACCGCAAAGGCTGCAGAAACTGAGTAGGGTCTTTCTTGACTACACCATTGCGGGGGCCCTGGTTTACACCACCGCGGTGGGGTCAAACACCTTCCAGAGGCTGTTGGACTACAATGCCCATCAGCCCTAGTCAACGCCACTGTGGGTCAGGAATGCCAAGGGTTGCTGGTGTCCATTCTCAGAAGAGCCACCTTTTCCCCGCCTGGGGGTTCAGCAGACCTTCCAGAGGTACCCAGAGGTGGTGAGAGTCACCAGAGAGGTTTCCTAGTTTACGTGCTGGTTTCCCCCCACATGGGATGTGGGTGGTGCTGCGGGTTACACCGCAAAGACCTCTGTGTTGCAAGGTCAGAAGATCAGCAGTCGTAAGATCGAATCCACGTGACGGAGTGAGTGCCCGTCGCTTGTCCCAGCTCCCGCCAACCTAGTGGTTCGAAAACATGCAAATGCGAGTAGATAAATAGGGACCACCTCAGTGGGAAGGTAACAGCGTTCCGTGTCTAAGTCGCACTGGCCATGTGACCACGGAAGATTGTCTTCGGACAAAACGCTGGCTCTATGGCTTGGAAACGGGGATGAGCACCGCCCCCTAGAGTCGGACACGACTGGACTAAATGTCAAGGGGAACCTTTACCTTAACCTTTCTCCCACAGCCATCACTCTGCTAGGCTGCCCGGTTCTGTCATGTCCCTCATCAGCCTGGATAAACGGTTCTCTCTGGCCACTGACAACATCATTGCAGGGGCTCTGGTTTACACCACTGTGGAAGAGATCTGCCGCCCATCCTGTATACACAGCAAATGATTTGCCACCGTGAAGTCAAGAGGAGCCTGTCTGGAGATGCTGGCAAGTCCATGTGCTGATAGTTTCCATCGCTCAAGGTGCAACCTGATGGCGTGAAAAAAAAAGCCACGGGCTCTTCTCCCCGACACAAAACAAAGCTAATTATGGCAAAAGACCCAAACGGCGCCTGTTGTGTCATACCTTTGGCATTCTTGCCAGCCTTTGAAAGAGAGAGCAACCCATGTTATAACCATCCCAGCCTGGATTGTGCCGGCAGATCTTGGGAAAGTGACTTCTGGAATCTGTCTCCCAGAATCCTCCAGGCAACACGGCCCTCAAGGAGGGGGGGGGTTTCTGGGAACATTTGTCCCCCTGCTCAAAAATCAGAACAAAAAGCAGACAAGAAGTCAATGTTGCTCTTTCTTCTAGACTTTCTCTCTGGGCCCCTCAAGAGGCACCTCTGTTTTCTCCTTTAAAGGGGGTGATCCTCTATGCGAAGGGTCAACAGAATCAGAGGAAGTTTTTCTGTCTCAAAGTGTCCTGTGCTCATAGAAAGGGTAGCCACCAGTCCTGGTCTCATGTAAAGACACAGAAGATTTATGATGATGATGATGATTAATCTTAGAGTGGCAGAGCTGGGAGGGACCCCATGGATCATCGAGTGCAGCCCTTCTCAAGGAGCCCCAGTGGCAGGATTCAAACTCCCAACCTCTGTCCAAACCCTTGAGATGATGATGATGATGATGATGATGATGATTCCCAGTGGCAGAGCTGGGAAGGACCCCATGGATCATCGGGTCCAGCCCTTCTCAAGGAGCCCCAGTGGGAGGATTTAAACTCCGAACCTCCATCCAAACCCTTGAACTATCCAGCATTTGGACCAAATTTGACCACCTCACATAAAAGAGTTTCCCAGTAATTTGGCGATGATGATGATGATGATGATGATTCCCAGTGGCAGAGCTGGGAAGGACCCCATGGATCATCGGGTCCAGCCCTTCTCAAGGAGCCCCAGTGGGAGGATTTAAACTCCGAACCTCCATCCAAACCCTTGAACTATCCAGCATTTGGACCAAATTTGACCACCTCACACAAAAGAGTTTCCCAGTAGTTTGGCCAGAAGAGAAGACTCCCTGGAAAAGACCCTGATGTTGGGAAAGAGTGAAGGCAAGAGGAGAAGGGGATGACAGAGGACGAGATGGTTGGACAGTGTCACCAAAGTGACCAACATGGATTTGACCCAACTCCGGGAGGCAGTGGAAGACAGGAGGGCCTGGTATGCTCTGGTCCATGGGCTCATGAAGAGTCGGACACAACTTAACGACTAAACAACAACATCATGGAGTGGAATGGGCAGTTTGTGGGATCAGGCCCCCGGCAACCTCAGGTTTTGACCCAGTGATTTTCTGTCTGCATTACAAAGCAGAACCACCCACAGATTTCCGTTCCTTGAGAAACAGGGGGTTTCTGCTGCAAAAAGCATACCTAGAACACCCAATCCAGAGGGTTAATTAATGGCCCAGGGATGTGCAGCAGACCCAGAGACCCAAACGCCATTTCTGAACCACCTCCGGACTTCCTGCCTGCCTGCCAGCCGGCTGATAAAACACACCGTGCTAGCTTTCAGGTCTCTGATGTGCTGTTCTTTGGCGTCTCTGAACCAGGTGGCCAGACAACAGCCTAGAGATCTGCTCCATGTAATGTGACATTTGGCATCTCCATTCGCAGGCGGAGAAGCGGCAGGCATGGCATCTCCCACGCATTCCTTCTGTGGCACTTCTGCGAACTCCTTTTTTCTTGCTTCCTCTCTGCGGGGGTCTACCGGAGAGCAGGAGCCCAGGCCCCTTAAAGCACGGGGGAGGCAAAGGCTAGCGGGCAGAGGAGGAAAGAGATGTCGCAGCGGCTCAAAGTGTTCCAGCGTTGACTCACCGGGGAGCGCACGGCCCGCTGGCAGGTTCTGAGCCCAATCCCCAGCGCGATGCCTGGTTTCACAGGAGGCGAGAGTGGGAGCAAAACGTCTTCCTGTGTGCGTGGAAGGCTGATGCCACTGTTCAAAACAGACCGTCTAGGGACAGATGGAGGGGATCGTGTGTGAGCAACGTTCCACTTCCTGTGTTCTTCATGTTCCTTTCTCCCTCCCTCATTCCTGGCTCATTGGTTAATTGGGTGCCATCCAGTCTGAAGAAAACACACTCTGTCTCTTTCAGGCTGGCCAAAGGGGAAACGAGGATGCATGAGAAGCGCCACGATCGGATCCAGAGCCTTGCAGCGCATCCATGGGATGCTCAACCCCGGCTCAGAGGGTTATGGTTAGAGATGGGCATGAACCAGTTTGTCCCAGTTTATAAAGAGATGAACCAGGACAAACTGGCTCAACCAGCCTCCCACCAGACCCGGCATGGTTGCTTCTGGAACCTCCTCAACTGATCTTCCAGTCTTGGCAGCGGCTCAGGCTCTCTCTGCCCCGCCCACTTGGCTGATCTGCCACTCAGAGAAAAGGGGCAGGGCAGAGAAGTCTGTGCTCCTGCTCGTGACTGGGAGATCAGCCAAGGAGGTGGGAAAAGCAAGCAAGCTGGTCCTGGGGAACGGCTGTCTGAGCCAGAGGAGGCAGGGAGGGGAGCAGCATCACCTGCGTTGCCGCCTTGATGAACTGGGACGAACCGGTTCGCGCCCATCTCTATTCACGATCAATGTTCTGTCATTGTCCCACCATGTGAAAGCTTCTGAATTTCCCATCAGGAAAAACAGAAATCTCAAAACTGAAAAGGTACAATGCCTACCTCTGGATGACGGTTAGGGAACTGCCTTGCGTATCTCTCTGCCACAGCTTAGAAAAGTTACTTTCTTGGACTTCCCTACCACCATCAGCCAGCTTGATCTCTCTCTCTCTCTCTCCTGTTCCATCCTCCTCCTCATTTCATTTAACATCTTGTGTTATCTTTCTGGCATTTACTCAAGTTTATTTCTCTTTGGAAATAGGACATCAGTGGAGTTCGATCAACATTTTGCGAGTATGGTTTATTTACAAACACACTGCTTGAGCGTAGGTGGCAGCCCGTAGCTTAAACACTCAGACGGATCAAAGTTCACAGCTCCTACATCAAGTTCCCAGCAAGAGAACTGAGCCCACAAGCAGGGTATCAACTCAACAGAATCTAAAAATGAGTGCACCACCTCAGAAATGAAATTTCCTGTTCTTGTTTCGTGCGCGGATGGCTTCTTGGCTAGATGGGACGTGCTAGAATTGACATGGAAGGAGGTCTACAAAGCCCACCCAGTAGGGCAGGTTAGAAGGCAAGGTTTTGGGGGTGCGAGAGCAGCTCAGTCTTTCTTGAAGGTGGCACCATAGAGGCCAGAGTAGTGGGCCCTCATATAGATCGCTTCGGGGCTGAGCCGGAACAGCCCCTCGCTCCATCTCCGGGGGCCAGCCCCCCGCTTGTCCGGCGAGAAAGCAGAGGGGCCGGACGTGGCCCGTGGAGTGGGCAGAGGATCATCGAGGTTGATGAAGGGCAGGGGGTAGTGGCCACGGCTTAATCGCCTTGCATCTCGTATTTGGCCAGGGGCCCCACCCTCTGGGACCAGCGCGGCTGGCGCCTGCTCTCCCGTCGACTCTGGAGGATCCACGGTCAACCCTGGTGGGTCCTCTGCTTTCTCCTTGGCTTGTGGAAGCTACAGAGATGGAAGGGTTGGGGGGGTAGATGGAGAGAGGGGGGCACACAGAGAAGAAGAGGGGGTTCAGCAGAGCCGAGCCAAGCTTTATAATATCTCAGGTGAACGTACCCCCCCCAAAAAAAACCCAGCAGGGACTCACCCACTGCCCTGCCTTAGGTTCAGCCTCCCTCCCCACTCTTTGCCCATCAGAGTGGTGCTTGCAAAGTCATCAGAGGGGGCAGGATCGGGGCCACACCTCTGTGCCCTCCTGCGGTTTGTGTGAAAACGCTGGCTTGTCTGTGTGTATGCTTGTTGTGTGTACATATAGATGGGAAAGGGCCTCGAAGGCCATCAAGTCCAACCTCCCAATCAAGGCAGGCATCCACGTCAGAGCAGATCAGAGAGAGGGTGGTCCAATTTGAGAGGAATGGACACTTTTGCTCCTCCACACATCCTTTGAATACACACAGAGAGCGCTCAATAGTGCATTGGGAAAAGGGGCATGGAGACCCCCCCAAAAACTCTTTCCATTCCACCCTGCTCATGCCCCCCTTTCCCCTTTCCGCTACTAAAGGAAGGAGGAAAGGCAACGTAACCTACACGGATGCAGCGAGAGACGGATCCCAGGAGTTTGACTACGACACTCTGAAAAATTCCTGGGTTTGCTCCCGTCTCGGATGCAGCCTCGCGTAAGGAGGAGACGCGGAGAAGCTGCCCGGTGGCGTTCCATGCAAGGGACGGGGCGTTCTTCACGAGCAAAAGGGTGGAGAGATAGGCCGTCTGTAGGTTCTGAGCCAGGCTGGCCAGGAACGGCGGCTGCTCAGGAGAACCCTTTACGGTCTAAAAGGAGAAGATTGGACATGGAAGACTCGGGTGGACTAAGCCCGCCTGCAATAGATCTAGGCGGACATCACAAGGCCTCTGCCTAGGAAGAACTGGCTTCGCCAAATCAGAGGCACACGTTTCTCTACCTGACCCAGCCGGGATGAGCAGTCCTCAGTTTTCTGCCTCAGGAACCGCCAGCCCTCCCTCCCCGACTTCCCCTGGCTGGAGCCAGACCATCGTGTCAGGATGGCTGACCTTTCCGAGGTCAGTGATCGTGATCTGAGATTTTGGGGCAGGCCTCCCACGGTCCCCATGGGGAGACAGCTTCAGTTTTCTCCTCCTTCTCCTCCTCTTCCTGGATTGTGTGAATGAAAGGCAGGATGAAAACGCCTGCGGAAATCTGGCACCGGGTTTGATTTCCTCCAGGCACTCCTTTTGGAATAGGTAGGTAGGTAGGTAGAAAGGAAGGAAGGAAGGAAGGAAGGAAGGAAGGAAGGAAGGAAGGAAGGAAGGAAGGAAGGAAGGAAGGAAGGAAGGAAGGAAGGAAGGAAGGAAGGAAGGAAGGAAGGAAGGAAGGAAGGAAGGAAGGAAGGAAGGAAGGAAGGAAGGAAGGAAGGAAGGAAGGAAGGAAGGAAGGAAGGAAGGAAGGAAGGAAGGAAGGAAAACAGTGGGGAGAAAGCGGCATTGAGAAGCAGGAGGAGAGGTGGAAATTGAAATGGGAAGAATCAAGATTACATTCAAGGGAAAACTGAAACAGGAATGGGAGCCTGGAGGGCATCATTCCAGATCTGCCAGGGGAACTGCCCATTCTTCCAAGTCGCCTCCTGCAGAAGGAGCCCTGTGTGGTGCATGGCTCTTTCCTCCAGCTGCTGCCACCCCCAAGCATTTGCCGCCTGAGGCAACTGACTCTCTGTGCCTATTGTCAGGGCCGGCCATGGCGTGACATAATCTGAGTGTTTGTCTTTAAGGAGCTCCATAAGATGACTCTTTTCTTGGGGTGTGTGTGGCTGCAGCAAACTAACTGAGCACCCCCACCTCTTTGGAAAATGGCTTAATCCTGGCTGTTAAGGGACTGCAACCGCAACCTGGTGAGACACCCAAAGCATCGTTCCTGGTGGTGCTTGGAGCTAAGCGCCATTCCCTGGAGACAAATAACCAAGAAACAGGAAGCCCCCCACCCCCCAGAGGGGAAGGGGCTATGAGAGTCTAGCCACAGATGGTTCCCATGCATTGAAGCCCCAGAATGTCAGAAGGCAGACTCTGGGGAGGACGGTGCGTGGTCTTCCTCCCCTTCGATATCGGGGTATCGAGGGAGACTCTGTGGCTTCAGGAAGGACATTAATAGAGGCCATAAATCAGTGGAGAGGGAGAGGGAACTAAAAGTAACCTTATTTATTTTTCATTTCTCTGCTTTATTTATAATCCGGTCTTTTTAGCCCCCAGTGTGAAATGATGACCCCAAGATACAGGCAGTAGCATTCCTAGAGATCAAAAGTCTGCCCTCCAACTGAGAAAAGCTGACTCAACGTATCGGAAATCCTGGTCTTGGCTTTTTTTTGGCTTTCAAGGAAACGTGGAGGGTTCTCGTCCCGATTGAGATCCACCCACACAGGGAGGAAACGGGCAAGAAATTTTGTTTGTTTCTTTATTATTTTATTTACATTTATTATTTTATTCCAGCTCAGGGAGACTAGAAAGCCTGGCACCATGTCCTTCCCCAAGGGGAAAGCATTTCAGACGGTCGGGACGGGACGGGACGTGGAAGATCTGGGTTCAAGTCCGTGCACAGGCATGAAACTTAGTGGGCCACTGACTTCCTATCCGACCCAACGTGCAGAGGAGAAAGGGAAAAGCAAGACGTAAATCTAACAAATGATAAATAAATAAATAAAATAAACTGGCCACTTTGCACTGCATTCAGGAAGGAGGTGGTGGCCAAGAGAGCAATCTCTCCAGAGCTAATAGAATTGTAGCCAAGGCTCCTTACCAGACCAGGGATCCTTGTAGCCATTGCCCACCCTCTGCCTGTGGCCACTTGGATGGTCTGCCGCGTCTGTTCGTACACATGCCGGCAAACAGCCCCCGCGAAGGCGCTTGCTTTCCCAAAGAGGGTGGTGGGAGATTCCGCTTTTGAGGACCCTGTGGGCTCGTGAACTACAAGAGAAAAGAGAAAGGAGAGGAGAGATGAGCAAGAAAATTCATTCATTTTTACTATTAATTTTATGAATATTAACTTGAGGTCTTAAGCTGTTTTATTGTCAGTTTTTATTTCAGTTGGGTTGTTGGTGGAATGGGAATCATGACTGTTTTTGTAAATTGTGCGATTATATTATATCGCATTCTGTTTAATTGAACGCTCCGTTGTAAACCATCCAGAGAGTGATATGCACTAGGGAGCGAGTGGGCAGGCGGGCTGGTTGGCTAGCTGGATCTAACAAAAAGAAGGGTCTAAACACCCAGAAACATCGTATGGGGGAGGGAAATGCCAGCCACTTTTAAGGTTGCCCACTCCTATGGAAGAGCAAAAAGACGAGGCATTTCAAAAATTAAGAGTGAATAAATGTGTGTTTTGCACAAAATGCAAATTTTTTCCATGTGCAGAAAAGGAGCATGTCTTGAGACCAGCTTGTTCCCGCAAAAGTACACACAAAAATAAATCTGTTAATGCACAGATGCCATAATTCTTTTGTTTTTTTCTCCTTTCTCTCTGTTAATGCACAGATGCCATAATTCTTTTTTTTTCTCCTTTCTCTCTCTCTCTTTTGGTGGTGGGGGGTGTCGTATTGTTCTTCTATTTTTTTCACCCACCGGCTGCCCAGTTTTCCGAAATTTGCACAGAAGCGTGATTTTTATTTATACTCTTAGCAAAGCTCAGTTAAATGACCCTTTATTCTAGGCTTCAGATTCATTTCCAGTTGCATGAAGGAGAACTTTGCTATTTATGGTGCATATTAAAAACAAATAAACAAATAAATAGTGTGAATTGAGTTCTAATAAGTACCTAGAAAACTCAGCGACCAAAGTGTCTCTCTGGTGCCGTCTGGTGGAAGCATTGCCTTCCAGCACCTTTGACAATAAACCAATGCATAGTTAAGTCTGATGCAGCTCAAGAAAAAGAAAGAAAGAAAGAAAGAAAGAAGGAAGGAAGGAAATGGAAATGGAAATTGAAATGGAAATGGAAATAAATGGAAATGGAGGAAGGAAGGAGATGGAAATGGAAGGAAGGAAGGAAGGAAGGAAGGAAGGAAGGAAGGAAGGAAGGAAGGAAATGGAAATGGAAAAACCTGTGTTCAGGATTCTTGCATAGAGATCCTAACTCCAGTTTGTTTCGGGTGTTTGAGAAGACCCAGCTTGAGCCTGAAAGCAGGGCTTGATATTAACCAGGATCTCCAGCTGAACAGGATGCATGAGAGCAAGAAAACAAGAGGATGACAAAGCAAGAACTGTGACTATGCTTATGGTTAATATCAAAATCATCATCATCATATGCCGTTGAGTCTATTCTGACTTAGAGAGAGCTGTAGCCCAAGACAATCTGGGCACTCAAGGCTGGGAATCGCTGCCTACATCGTGCCAGCCCTCTGGTGCAGAGAAGCATCAGGACGGATGGACATCTCATGATTTGGTGACCATGGGTGCATAGAACAATAGATGGGGTCTCTACTTCCATTTCTTCTAGGCCAGGGCTTCAGGGATGGGGCAACCTGGGATTCTCATGTGGGTGCATCCGGGACCTGAGATTGTCCACAGGCAGGGGCGGTACCTGATTGCTCCTCAGCCTTTTGAAGGAAGAAGTCGATGACATTTTCCAGCTTGCCCATGGCGGCATCTATTCCAGCTTCAGCGGCCACGCTCACTCGGCTTCTTCTCACGTGCTCCATGGTGTCCTTCACGATGGTCTCCGACTGCTCGTAGCTGTCAGAAGCCGCTCCCCGGAGGCGGTTGACGAAATCTGCCATGGCGTGCGTGGCATTACAGATGAGGGCGGAGACGGTCTCCTTCAGGTCTGCCGTCACCTATGAGAGGAAAGGTCAACAAAGATTAACCATGGAGAGACCTCCTGCCAACGGTCAACGGACCAGACTTGGGGGGCAAATTTGATGAGGCCGGTCCTTACGAGCATCCCTTACTTTCTCTATAGGCTGGTGCAGGGCAGGAATCCTCTCTTCCAGGTGATCCAAACCTTGACAAGCGAGATGGTTGGCCACTGCGACTGAACCAAAGGAGAGAGGCTATCAAACAGGATGTAGCCACCAACAGAATTCCTCGTGCACCCCCAAAATCTTTTCTGGACACCTGAGAAACCTTTGGGAGCCTTTCCCCCACCCCAGGAAGATGCTGCATTTCTTTAATTAAGTACCTGCCCAGCCCGTGACTTATATAAAGCAGGAAGTAGACAGATCATTTACAGAGGAAAATGGATATTCTCCTGAAATCATAGTTCAGAAGGATGCTGTTTTCAGCACTGGAGGGGGGCATGCATAGATATTTGGGGTCTGCCTTGTTTCCTCACAAGCTGTCCCTAAAAGAGGGGCTCTCCAATGCTAGGAGAGAGCCAGGCTGTAAGAAGAAAACCTTGGATGGAGGAGAGGAGCCTGGAAGGATCGGTGCCTCTTAGCTTAATTAAAATTGAGTGCTCCCATCTTCTGTTTTATTGAAGGATGAGGAAGAGAGGAGACACAACCAGGTTGGATAACCATGATGGGACACCCTCCTTTGTCATTTGGCTTGGGAGGGGGAACTGATTAGGAGGAGGAGGCTAGAGTGCTTCTTCAAATTACACTCGGTCATTTTAATTTCTCAGAATGCCCCTGTCCATGTCACATTGCCCCAGAGCCTTGTGGGAAACGAAAACAATAGCTGCTTTAGCGTTCCCATGCAAACTCAAAATGGACTCCAGGGCGACTCTCCTGGTGCTGTCCAGAGTCCTGAACGAGGAGGTGGTTTGCAATCGAAAAGAGGGGTCGGTCCTAAACTGTGCCAGGGCCCCGTCCCCTCTTTGAAGCCGATGTGGGGTGCTTTTGGACTGGGGCAACCATGGCCATCTCCTCAAACACGGTTCCCTCCCTCAGACACCCCTTACGCTGAGGTTCAAGCTTCTGTACGACGGGCCTGACGCTCCAGGTGGCCAAGGAGCTGGCTCTCCGAAGGCCCCACTCATAGGCTCCCCACACGGTGGCCATCAAGGGGTGGACCTCCTTGGTGATGACGCAGAACCTCTGGAGGTTGATCCATGCAGAATGGACCACAGGTAAGTCCAGGAGCCTCTGCCAGGCATGGCTTTCCTGTTGAAGGAGGAAGATGGGTAAGGGGGATTCATCTGACCTGCACACAAACACACAGACACACCCACACAAGTACAAAGGCCAACACTTCCTCTAGGTCACCACCTGCTAGAAAAACCATGAATGGGGTCCTCTCTTCTTTGGTCTCTAAGGACGTCTATTCTCTCCTGTTACATCTGTGTATATATATATATATTTTCCTACCAAAAAAAGACCTGGAGGCTGTAATTATGGCTCCACTTGAAAGATAAGGATGGGGTTTCAGTGGGAAAACATCATTTGCCACATGGGGGGGGGGATACCTTTTCTTGAAATGCAAAATCATCATCATCGACTTCTTACCCGCATACTGTACATACCTTGGGGCTTTTCCCGTTCTGCATGACCTCTTTGGCTTGGGTTGCCATCATTCAACATCAGCCTGTAAACCGAAGTGCAGAGAGTGAATTCGTGTGCCAGAGATTCTCCCACTGTGTCTTGCTGTGAAGCTTTGAAAAGAGTCTAAATGTCATGTCTGTTCTCCCATACTACGTTGTTGCTGTTATGTGCTGTCAAGTCACACACACCCCGACTTACGGTGACCCCATCAACGAGGGATCTCCAAAATGCACTGTCCTCCGTTGCTGTTATGTGCTGTCAAGTCACACACCCCCGACTTATGGTGACCCCATCAACAAGGGATCTCCAAAATGCCCTGTCCTCCACTGCCCTCCTCAACTCAAGTTTGTGGCTTTCCTTTCGGGACTCATATCTTGCAAACTCAAGCTTGTGGCTTCCTTTCGGGACTCATTCCATCTCATATTAGGTCTTCCTCTTTTCCTGCTGCCTTCAGCCTTTTCCAGCATGATTGTCTTTTCCAGAGAATTCCTTACTATACTGGAACCCGAAAGCTTGAGTAGCAGGATCTTTGCAGAATATCTGTTCCTCCGGGAATCCGTAGGTTTGCAAATTAGCATCAACATTTCCGTTATTGATAGTTAAGCCTTGTAGCACCATATACTTCTGGTGCTTAGCTTATCAAACAATGATCAATTGTAAACAATGTGTCTTCATAACATAGGGTATTTGGCTAATTGTCCCTCATTGTACATATGTGCACTAACCTTTTGCTTCACTACCTAGACGTACTACTTTTCTGGGTCGAGCACACCATTATTTCCCAACATGGTGTAAGCTTGTGACTTTGTGGCATTAAGTAATTTTTGCATGTTGTAAAGTCATGCACAACAGAGAGTACTGTACTTCAGTCTTTGGCATTTCCAGGTAACAACAACAACAACAACAACAACAACAACAACAACAACAACAACAACAACAACAACTTTGGGGCTTTGGGAACAATATCTGAGCAGTTGCACGTCTCAGAAATCACACCATCAGAACTACATAAAAACACAGAAATTTCACACAGTATTATAAGCAATTGCACATCTCAGAAATCATGCCATCAGAACTACATAAAAAAACACAGCATTAGGAACGGCATACATACTGCGCCGATATTTAACAGATACTTAGGCTTTCGGTTAAATCTTGTATCTGTTGTATAATACCAGTCAATGTTTTTATAATTTTGATTGACTGTGCCTGGTAATTTTGAATAATAATAATAAAACTGTAGAGCTGAAAGGGACCCTGTGGATCATTGAGGTTACATGTACAGATCATGCCGATCCGAAGGTAGCTTTTGAATTTCCCAGAAGTCTTGAAGATAGACTTAAAACTTGAAAATTCCAGATTCCAGCTGCTTAGAACATAACAGCAGAAGAGTCCTGCTGGATCAGGCCAAGGGCCCATCTAGTCCAGCTCCCCGGGTCTCACCGTGGCCCCACCAGATGCCTCTGGGAGCACACGAGACAATGAGAGACCTGTCTCCTGATACCCCTTCCCCTGCATCTGGCATTTTGAAGTCCCTTCCTTTTAGGCCTAGAGATTAGACATCCCCATCATGGCTTGTCACCTGCGACAGATGTTTCCTCCAGGAATCTGCCCAATCCCCTTTTCAAGGCCAGATGCCATCACCACATCCTGTGGCAAGGAGTTCCACATGCTGGATCAAGAAATATTTTCTTTGGTCTCTTCTCACTCTCCCAAAACTTAATTTGAGTGGATGTCCCCTGGTTCTGGCATTGCTTGAGAGGGGAAAGACCTTCCCTCTCCCCACTCGATCCATCCTCTGGTTAATTTTATACGTCTCCATCATGTCCCCCCCAAGGTGCCTTTTCTCTAGATTAAAGAGCCCGAACACTACTTGACAGGTCTTAACTTTTTCCCTTCCCTGTCTTTCAAATTTTGCCCCATCTACCCATGAAGAACTAGTTACAGAGGGCTCTAGATTTCAGTAGTGCAACCATGTCTTTACACAACTTTTCCCCCTGCTCAGAATCATGGGGCTCCTTTTGCTTGTCTATCCCAAAGGCAAATCTTTGCATTGCAAAGTGCATCAGCAGCACCGAAGCGTAATGTGAATTGCAAAGATCAGCTCCACGAAGATTCGTCTCTATTCCTACAGCAACCTCCTTGTACAACCACTTCATTATTAGCACAGGTACTCACAGGGCGGTGCAGCCGTCTAGCTGCCTTGAACAGGGAGTGCCAGAGAGAGAGAGAGAGAAACCAGCGTGGCAATCCTGGGACTCTTCTGACAGAGGAAAAACTAGCCTCAGACAGTAAGGCTAGCAAGCTCCACCTTCTGGCTAAAGAGATCAAATCGCCAGCCAAGCGCCGGTGGTATTGGGCAAAAGAACTCCAGGGGACCTGAAGAAACTCCAAAATATCGGCCAACTGGAATCTTCAACTAACTCAGGGTCACAGAATCATACAGTCAGAGTTTGAAGGGAACACATAAGGTCCTCTAGACCAACCCCAATCCATATGGAAGTCCAGGGCTGAAGCCTCCCTGATGGCTTCTGGTCCAATCTCTGCTAGGAACCAAGAGTCATCCACCGCTCTCCAAGCCTGCCTGCCCCATTCTTAAAACAACAGCTACTTTCAAGACATTTCCCCCTTCTAGACAACGGAATTTGCCCTCTTATTTGACCCCACTATGGGACGTGGTGGTGCTGCGGGTTAAACCGCAGAAGCCTCTATGCTGCAAGGTCAGAAGACCAGCCGTCGTAAGATCGAATCCACGCGACAGAGTGAGCTCCCGTTGCTTGTCCCAGCTCCTGCCAACCTGGCAGTTCGAAAGCATGTAAAAATGTGAGTAGATAAATAGGGACCACCTCGGTGGGAAGGTAATGGCGTTCCATGTCTAGTCGCGCTGGCCACGTGACCACAGAAACTGTCTACAGACAAACACTGGAGACAGGGATGAGCACCGCGCCCTAGTGTCGGACACAACTGGACTAAATCTCAAGGGGAACCTTTACCTTTTAATTTGACCCCATTGCTCTGGACTCAGTGGAATAGCGGGGGAAAAGATTGATCTATCTTTCACGGGTCTGAAGACGGCATCCACCCAAGATCACAGAGCCTTCCCTTTGGAGAGGGTGTTCTTTAAGCACTGAGAGAGGTCGGATTGGCGCAATGGGAACTTTGCTCACCTCCCGCAGCTTTGCTTTGCTGACCTTTGCTTTGGTTTTCAAATTGGTCCCACTGAGGCTTTGTTAGCAAGTCTGATTGATCAGAAACCGAGACCTGCTGGAATCACGTCTCTGGAGCCATAAAATGTGACCTCACCTCGAATGCCGTGTTTCTTTGGCCCAGAAAGACACATCGCTTCTGGACAGACGTCCGTTGTTGTTTGTGGGATAGAAGGCGTTACCAACAACACTAGGTAGCTTTCCAGACTTTCTTCTATATTCTGTATTAAGGCAGAGCAACTGCATTGAGGGAACAGGTCACTGGATCCCATGGGCCTCGGCCTAACCCAGTGTCTTCTCGTTTCACAAGACAAGACACGCACACACACACTTGGAAAGAGTCCAGAACTGGAAAAGTAATGTCTCAGTAAGAAGGCATTGAGATTCCCATCATGTTGAGTCAGCTCCCATTGAACATATATATTCAGAAAGCACCTAAATATCAAAGCAAAACCCCATCTGTGTACAACCAGGGGGTTTACCGCTGTCTGCCTTTCCAGGTGAACATCCCCCCCCTTTAAAGCTGCTTTAATTTTGATCCCGAAAGCAAAACACTTCATCAGCTGATAATCCAGGAAAGCTCACATTGAAGTTAATCTTAGTCTTCAAAGCCTCACCATAATTTCATTTTTTTAAAAAATTGTTTAGCTTTGTCTCACATGCCGGAAAAAAACAGGAACTTCGCTGCTGTTTCTCTCTTTTTTTATTATATAGCATGCATTTCTGCACTGCATTTCCAAAGAGAAGTTTGAGGCGCATGTTTATGAACTGGTTGCTTTCTTTGTCAAGATGTGTGACACACACCGCCCCCCATAAAATTGCATGTGGAGAGTGCCTTTAAAAAGACCACCTGCCAGAGCAGGACGGGAGGCGTATGAACGACACCCTACCCAAGCAGAAAAAAGCAGCCAGGGAAGAATGTGTGCCCCTTTCTGAGCTTCAGCAATCAAGAGACATTTGGTGTTTGTTTCTCACTTTTAAGTCATTTGGTTTTTAATGGTAAACCATAGACTCATCTTTTCAGAGCCCCATTTGAGATAGTTGTTAGCCACGACCCCAACTCCCCAGATTTGGCTCACCTGCACTGTTTATCCGTGACGTCCCCGATGCTTACCTATAAAGCTCTCTGTGGTTTGTGACCATCGTTACTCGTCGGAGTGCCTGTCCCCATGAACTTCGACCCCTGCCACCAAATCCTCTCAGGCCACACTCCTCCGGGTTGCAACACCGAGGGAGGCCGGGGAAACATCTGGTAGAAGAAGGGCCTTCTCGGTTGTGGCACCGGCCCTTTGCAACTGGCTCCTGGCCCCCTCCCTGGCTACCTCCAAGAGGTTGCTCAAGATGCTGCTCCTCACAGAGGCCTTTTGATGGTTATCAACCTCAGAGGAACATGCCACTTGCTTTGCCGGCCATATTATGGGCTATATTGTTCCTTGCACCCCCATCTTGGGAGGTTTGCATGGATCTGCTCTTTTATTTTTCTCTTTGTTACTGTTGGATTTATTGTTGTTTCTGTTTGATTTCGTCAATGGTACACTGCCCAGAATAGGGCCTTACACACTAATGGGGCGGTATGAAAGCCGAGTGAATGAATGGTTGCAGAGCTACTCAAAGGCAGAAATGTCACTAGAAATTTGGATTCTGGGAGTAAAGGGCATAATCCGTTCATTCTCTCCTGAGACATGGGTGCCAGCCTCCATCAGGAAAAAAAGTAGAATTCAG